ACCCCAGCCAATCAGCATCCAAACGGGCCCCCCAAGGCCAACGCCGCAGCCAATGGGAAGTCGGGGTGCGAGGCAGGGCGGCGGCGCTGGCCCAGGCCTCGAGGCGGAGCGGGGCTGAGGCTGGGGCCGGGGGAGCCGCTCCCCGCACGGCCCCCGCTGTGCCCCGTCCCGCTTACCTGCCCTTGGCGTTGACGCCGCGCTTCCGGATGAGCTCGTCCAGGGACAGGTCCGCCATCTTGCCGCGGGGCTCACGGATCCGACGCAGCGAGCGAGACCCGGAAACTAGACCGAGCACTTCCGCCACAAGCCCCGCCCCCGGTAGCGACCACGGCACGCGTCACGCGGCCCCGCCCGGGAGCGTGGAGGCTCCCAGAATGCCCCGCGGCCACGCAGGGCTATATTTGCATAACGAAGCACCGCGTTTGCACACATTCCTGCCCGAAAACCGCGAGCGCTGCGGGGAAGCGCGGGTCCGACTGCCGGTACGGGATGAGCGGCATGAGACTGAACAGAAACTAACTTGCGAGGTAGCTCCCCGCTCTCACCGTGACCTGGGGGTATCCCGCCGAGCGCCGCCTCCCCGCCGCGCTAGTGTAAGTGTATGCCTTAAACTTATGAGTAAGGAAAATAACGATCCGGGGTGACGCCCGGGTCCTCACTGCTAATGTGAGAGGAATTTTTGCGCGGGCACAGGTCGTCCTCAGGGTGGCCCGCTTACTTCGCGGGATGCCCGGGAGCAGCGATCTGCCCGACCCCCCTGATCTGGTCAGTAAAGATAGTGTGGGCTGAACGCGAGTCTGCTGGGGAGGTGATAGCGATGGTAGCTTGGAGATAAAGCAAATTTCAGCTCTTTGGGAGCTGACCTCCTTGTTTCGGCCGAATTTGTGCACCCGCAGCGCACCCTCCGCACGGGAGAAATTCCTTGCCCAAGGGATCCCTGCTATCAGCATCCTCCCGTAAAATACGAAACATCCTAACAAGAAAGACAAGGTTCTTTGGGTAAATCCGCCAACATGGCTACAGCCTGTATTGCTGTATATACAGATATATTCATGTACTTTCATAGAATATACGAAAAGGCAGGGTAGTTTTGTATCTTAGACTAACCAAAGTGTGTGCGTGCACACGTAACATTTATATAGGCAGACAAGGTTCTTTGGGTAAATCTGATATCTTTTATTAGACCAACTTAAATACTTGGAAGAAAAATTTTTTTGCAAGCTTTCGGGTTTAAAAACCCTTTTGTCGGGCTGAGGAAGTCTGCAGTTGGTGTGTGCTCTTCTTGGACGGAATGAATAGGAAGAGCACACAGCAGCTGCAGAGACTGCCTCAGCCCATTGAAGGGTTTTGAAATCCGAAAACTTGCTAAATTTTTTCCCCCAACTATTTAAGTTGGTCTAATAAAAGATATCAGATTCACCCAAACAACCTTGTATGCCTGTGTCCTTAGACCAACACGGCTACAACCTACACCCCTGTATCATTTATGTAGCTCGCTCTCTCTCTCTCTCTCTCTCTCTCTAGATAAATATAGAGATAGATAGCTATAGAGAGAGTGAGAGGGATAAATGTGTACACACACATAGGACTCTATACAAACACAGGCACATTTTGGTTAGTCTATAAGGTACAAAACTACCTTTATATACTTAAATAAAATATATGACAAGTATATATAGGAAGTGTGTGTGCATATATATACACACAGACGCATGACGCATGCTTTTTTTTTTTGCAAAAAACATACATACATACATACATACATACATATATAAAACTGTACCTCTAACAACCAGTCAAGTGACCACTGTGGTTCACTTGACAGAACAAAACACACTTTAACAGCTGAAGTATTTTAGTTCCATTACAAAGTTCCAGGGCTGGCCCACAATTTTTTGGGGCTCCCTGCAATAAATAGTTTTGGGGCCCGCTGCTGCAAAGAAGGCAGCGGCAGCGGGGAGGGTGGGGGTGAGGGTGAGTGGCTGAAGAAGCTGGCAGCAAGCGGCAGTGGTATCGGGGGAGGGGAGCGTGGCAAGTGGCCAAAGAAGCTGGCATCAGTGGCAGGGCAATGGTGAGCGGCTGGATGCAGGGGGCCCCATAGCTGCAGGGCCCCCTGCAGCTGCAGGTTTCACAGAATAGGAGGGGCCAGTCCTGCAAAATTTGCACTCCGCACCCATCACCATTCCAGTGCTTTCACTAGTTTTCACCGCATTCATTAGCACTGTATTTGTCTCCGCCGCTGTCATTGGTGCCTCTGGGCTGCCCAGCAGGGCAGCAGTGACAATGCAGACCAGCCGCAGGGCAGCCCAGTGCAGGCTCTGGGTGGAAGTGACCAGCAGCAGTGAGGGGGAGGGGGGACAGGCTGCTTTTCTCCCCATGCCAAGCAACAGTTTTTGCTCACCTACTGCCACTGCTCAGAGCAGGTGTGGGGTGGGCTGGGTTGGGGCGGTGTGCAGGTCCCCACTGGTACTGTGGGGTTAGGGCCAGCAGTGGCAGCACCCAGAAGGAACTGCTGCTGCCTGGGCTGCCTAGAAAGGCAGTCCAGCTGTGGAGCTGCCCCAGTCTTGCTGCATGCCCAGGGGACAGCAGGATGCACCATGGGTGGGCTGGGTCAGGGCTGTGCGTGTGTATTCCAGCTGATCCACTCCTGCGGAGGTGAGTCTGGTGCAGGTGTAGGGAGGGCTGGGGTGGGGCAGGGGCTGCGTGCTGTTGGCGGTGGTGGGGACACACCGCAGGGTGTATGGGCTCCAGGCTGTTGCGGGGCGGAGATGGATGCTGACTGGCTCAGAGGGGTGCACATGAGGGAGCTTCCATGCATACCCCACCATACCCAAAACTTTCCTAACTAACCCCACAACCATACCCTTCCCCTCACACAATCATACACCCCACAAACACCGTACCCACCCACACCCTCCTGCCCACCCTGCCATAAACCCCCCACCCGTCCCCACGTACACACCCACATGCCTCTGGGGGGAGCCCTGCTCACTGCTACATGCACACATCCCACCACACACACCCCAGCCACCCTCCCCCTCTACACACCCCCACAAACCCCATAACCACGCACACCCACACATCAACAAAAACACAACTTCTTACACACACCCCATACCCACCCACCCACATCCACACAAACCCCCACACCCTCCCTCACACCCCACATACACACACATCCATACAAACACACCCACAGCCCCTCGCAAACCCACTTCCCCATATTCCCCCCACCCCTCCACACCCCTGCCTGCAATATACAAGAGTAAGACTTCATTTTGAGATATTATGCAATCACTTCTATATATGGCATGCAAACACACACAAATCAGGACAAAAATATTTTAAAAATAAAATTAAAATATTATTGTCAATGTTTGATTTTTAGTATATAATTTGGTTTTTTTTCTGTTTCCAAGATGGCCAACCCCCTTCCCAAAAGAAGTACTTCTGGAGGCAAGGGGAAGGACCTCCGATGGCAAAGGTCAGGGGTTAGGGGATGGGACTTCCAGTCCCAAAATGGCAACCAGGGGGTGGGGCGCTTGTCATTGCAGCCTTTGACAGCTCACCAAAACTCATTAAGTGGCCCTCCAGTGGAAATTATTGCCTGCCTCTGGTCTACAGGGTATAAAACTACCCTGACTTTGCTCTCGTTAATGTTTAAGTTAGGGAAATCTCTTCTGCATTATCAAACAACAGCAGAGGCTTGTGGGCTCCATGTTATCTTTCATGTGCCTAGATACATACATACATACATGCATACATACAAAGACAAGCTTTCAAGGACTGGAGCTCACTTCCTTAGATGCTGTGAAAGGAGATGTCCAAAGCTTTGTGTAAGGACAGAAAAATTTGAATACAAAAGCAGGAGGGAAGGGCAGAGAACAGGGAGGAGGGCAATGCTGAGAGAGGCAAACACAAACAAAGGAGTCAGAAAAATGAATCCAGGTGATGGGCTAAGAATCCAGACTCCCTATTTTAAACCTGTTTAAAAAACAATTCAATTTGTCCTTTCCCCTGCAGGAACCTCAAACCAACAGGAGCTGCTGGCAAAATATGTATGTGCCAATTTACCATAACTAGTGTAGTGCGCAGGTTTGTTATTACCCTGAAATAGAATAGTTTTCTGATAGCATACTGTTAGGTTAACAATAATTTAGATTATTAAGAAGTATTAGCTTTACAGCTGAATACAAGGCATGACCTGTGGCCTAGCAATGCAGCTGACCACAAGGCAGATTGATAGCTAAGCCTTTGCTTGTGTTAAGTAATCATTTTAACTGTATTAAGCATTTTCTGAGTTAAAAGCAGCAAGTATCTCTGTGTCTGTGTGCTGAAAAATCAGCTACAGCAAGAAGTAAGATAAGACAGGGAAACCATTGTTCTGGGTGCACTGGTTGTGTCCTTGAGAAGTATCTACTACTGTGTAAGGTTTTGCTAACATATTATAATGTTACTGTTACTTAACTTTTAGCTTTTAAAAAAGTGCTAGTTCAGCTTAATAGAAATATGCTGTTACAAAGATTTGAAAAGCACCGCCCAAGTATTGCTTTTTTTGTTAACCATGAAGTCTTGCCTTGTTGTAATAAGTATAAAAGATCGCCTCACCCTTGAGGGGGGGCCATTTTGCCTTTTGCTGGCTTTATGGTCTTTGCTCGAGCAAATAAACAGCTGTCTTTCTTTACCCGCGTTGTCTGTCAATCAAATTACAGCTAAACAACGAACCTTAGGGAGGTTTCTCCCACCACAAAAGCTAATACTTCTTAATAATCTAAATTATTGTAAACCTAACAGTATGCGTATCAGAAAACTATTCTATTTCAGGGTAATAACAAACCTGCGCACTACAAATCCTCCCTTTGTTCCAATTTTTCAGGAGAAATTTTGGAACACACTTTTAGGTATTTAACTTCTTGTGGGGTTAGGTTTTGATGATTGATGCTGGATATTTGTACAAACTGACCATACATTTTTACTTGCCTTTGCATAAACTGTTGTCCTAGAGAGCACAGACACTGAAAACAGCACAACAGGCAGATTATAGTTATAACAATTCCGATTAAGCTTAATACAAAAGGTCTAAGCCATCCTGTAAGGGAAGGCAACCAATTAGTGAGCCAACTAAGAGATGTGTCTTTGGGGATTTTAGCTATATCTTCGGCTTTTTGGATATGGACAGCTGCATCATTGAGGTGGGTTTGTACTATTGTAAAAGAACTGTTAACCCAAACACAACATTTTGGTCCGATAACCGCACAAGCTCCCCCTTGAGCAGCAAGGAGAAAATCAAGGGCTATACGGTTTTGAATTATCATTTGTCGGAGTTTTTTTTGGGTGTCAGCCAAGGCAGCAACGGCCTTCGAGAGTTCCTTGTGACCTTCACTGAATTTATGAGCCATGATTTTTATCACAGCTTGCAAACGTAGTGTAAATCTTCCAAGACAAGCAGTGCCTATTCCTGGGAGTATACCTGCTAAAGAACACCCAACTAATACTCCTTTGGTAAGCGGAGTTTTTTGATATTTGTCTACTATATCACGGCTTTCTTGCAAATCCCTCTTGTTTCGCCACCTGCCCCGTGGAAGGTGCGTGGCGAAGGACGTAGAGGGTTTTAGCATTGCCGGATAGCAGATACCTTTTCCTTTGGCAGGGATTTTATGGTAGGCGTGGGAGCCACAGACCCAGTATTGTCCTTTTAAAGCAGCGAGG